AGAGTGTGGCTCGTGAGAGACTGGCAGTGATGGGTGTCACCTCAGACATGTTGACCACTGAGAGACACCTAGGAGGTCCCCCAGTCATAGCTACTTACATCTTGTATGTACAGGTGACACTGGGGACTACACTCAGTGACATAGAGAATGTGGCTCGTGAGAGACTGGCAGTGATGGGTGTCACCTCAGACATGTTGGCCACTGAGAGACACCTAGGAGGTCCCCCAGTCATTGCTACTTACATCTTGTATGTACAGGTGTCACTGGAGACTACACTCAGTGACATAGAGAGTGTGGCTCGTGAGAGACTGGCAGTGATGGGTGTCACCTCAGACATGTTGGCCACTGAGAGACACCTAGGAGGTCCCTCAGTCATAGCTACTTACATCTTGTATGTACAGGTGACACTGGGGACTACACTCAGTGACATAGAGAATGTGGCTCGTGAGAGACTGGCAGTGATGGGTGTCACCTCAGACATGTTGACCACTGAGAGACACCTAGGAGGTCCCCCAGTCATAGCTACTTACATCTTGTATGTGCAGGTGTCACTGGAGACTACACTCAGTGACATAGAGAGTGTGGCTCGTGAGAGACTGGCAGTGATGGGTGTCACCTCAGACATGTTGGCCACTGAGAGACACCTAGGAGGCCGCAGCCCAGTCATCGCTACTTACAGGATCGTAGTACATAGACTACAGAATAATGCTCAGCTACCACCTATTACCTCCCCACCTAAAGTTCCAAAGTCTAGGACTTGTACTGTTTTATAAGTATTCATAGATGTTAAGTATAATTTGGTACAAGTGACCGAACCATATCCAACCTCAGGATAGCTGATTATTTTATAAGTAGACTGTTGTGTTTCCGTTGGTTTTCAAACGGGTAATGTTTGGTTGTTTTGAATCTTAAGAAATTTCTTTAACAGGTTACAGAAGTAAAAGAATTAAATCTGTTTTTCGGTGTTTAGGGTATGTAACCTTTTGACATTTTTTACAAGTGTTGTCCGTAAAGGCTTTATCTAGCTTGTCCAAACAAGTTGGCTCAAATATGGAACCAGTGCTGTGTTATAGTTATTTCATTCACTAATATTCTAGTTGTTTTTCACCCCTGTGTGACAATTAGTTCTGTCATAGCTACCAGTGGCGGTTTTACGACCTTGTCAACGGGGACGTTATTGGGGACCCCAAGAAAGGAGGGTGGTCCTTAAGGGGGGTTCTTTCCTCATTTTTTTTTTATTTAAAGCCATTTGGTGATTTTTAAAATCAATTTTTAATATCTTGAACTCTGTCCAAAAACCTCACGTTTCACCTGTTACCTGTGTTAACTATAGGCTTCAGCCACTGTAGCCCTCCTTAGAACAGCCACTGATAGCAGCCAAAAAATCTGCAATGGAAAATCGGCGCTCTCGCCAAGTATGAATTACATTCTATCATTAGATTTCTTTGGTCAATCTTATGAAGCATTAATAAAGTCACCAGTGATAGAAGTGAATGAGGCAGTCTTATGTAGAAATTGTGGGACATTATCGTCTTAAAGATGTTTTGCACAGTGTAGGAGGGCTGTGGTTGTTCTTCAGATGTGATTGAGGCAGTGACCTAAGTCAAGGGAAGTTTGCGGATCGCAGTGTGACAGGACAAGGGATTACCAAATTGATATAGAATGTCTCTATAAGAATATCAAGGTTAACGGTAAACCCTGGTAGTATATAGCATGTTGATTAGCAAGCAAAGTTTTTTTTAATTTGAGTAACTCTCTCGTTAGAAACTATTGACTGTAAACGACCCACTATTGCAAATTTTTACGTCCAAACATTTTTCTGCATACAGAAATCAGAAATCAGAAATCTTTATTCACCATTGATCATATTACATGAAATAGGCTTCGTCATACAATATAGGCTAAATCTATCATAATACTAAGGAAAATAAAATCTACACATATAACAATCATAAACCTATATAGGCCCAAATACTACTGACAATAACAACATTTCTTGGCCAATTCTATCTACAAGTGTTAATCTAGGATCACAGGACAGTCTAAAAACTCAGTTAAACAATAAAATGGATTTTTTAATAGCCAATCGTACATTTTCTTCTTGAAAACATTGACTGGTGCAGTTCTAGCATATGAAGGAAGTTTATTGAAAAATCTAATGCAGTTAATTTTGTGAGATGACCCAGTTTTGGCTAATCTGTGCATTGGGATATCAAGTCTCACCTTCCCTCTTGTGTCGTGGTTGTGTATGCTCTCTCTTGTGACAAATTCTTGTAAGTTCATTTTGATGTGCATTAATGAGCAGAAAATATACAAATTTACAACAGTGAGAATTTTAAGTTTAATAAATAATGGACGACAGTGTTCCACAAGGCTCGCCCTACACATATTGCGAATTACTTTCTTTTGAATCAATAAAATATCATTTGTTTGTGAGGAATGGCCCCATAAGAGGAGACCGTAGGTTATGTGTGATTCCAGAAGACCAAAATAAGCCATTCTAAGGCCATACATGTCCTTCTTGGCAACAAATTTTAATAATATAGTTTAATCCCTTTTCCTCAGAAACCTAATAACACAACATGATTCATACTTTGCCGGAGCGTCGAGTGTCCTTTGCATTGTTATGACTAATAGTTATATAGATTTAGAGACCGGCCAGAATAGTAGTGGAATGAACCCACTGTTTAGTGTCAGATTTGAGCAAGGTTTCTTGGTTGCGACGGAAGATCTATTGAAGCCTTCATTTACGAACAACTCTCGTAAATTGTATATACTTAATAAACAAATAACATTAAAGGCTGTAAAAGTCTGTTTGCTTAAAGTAATAATACTCATTAGTAACAGTAAAACCAGTACCTATCTTTAAACGCATGCTGATATAAAATTAGTTCCGATAGTCAAATAAGAAAAAATATATATTTCACTCTATGTCAAGGGATATGATCAAGGGTAAAAGTATTACTTGTCAAAATTGAAGTTAGTACAAATGATTAGGACAACATATTGGTTAATTGATAATACACACAGCAATATTAGATACCGTTTTTTTTTTTTACCTAACCCTAACGTTAACTTAACCCTGTTTAGTATAGTACAACGGTTACAATGACATTTTAGACCATGACTGTTTGTGTATGAGCTATATCCTACAACTATTTTTGTAAGGGTTACGGATAGTAAGGGTGCGTTCACAAAGAAAGCTGGTTACAAGTAACTTACTTTCAGCGCTTGTTCCAAGCGCTCGAGAATGCTGTTGTATGTTCACAATAAACGCTTGCATTTCAAGCTCAGTGTAGTCTCAGCTCTGGTTTAGAAATTCGTAGAAGGAAGGTATTCATGCAATTAACCGCGGAAGAGGTAGGTTCGAGGAATACCACCATCTATTTCCTCAATTTAAATTGGACAAAGGGAGGTTTTTTCTTATAGGAGAATGGAGTTAACCACGCTTAATTACATCCTCAAGGAAATTTAAAGTGTTTTAGTGAAGCTTTGGGGGAATTGGCATAAGCAACCTATCTATGCACGATTTTCTCTTTCGATAAAAAGTTGAATATATAAGATTAGATTTTTGCATATAGCTGAAACCCGATACATAAAATCAGATTAAACATTGTATTGGCATTAAAATAATGACAACCTCTTTTATGCATATGTTTTATCACTGCATATAGCTTTAAGAAAACCTCTAAATTGCATATAATTTTGCTGGTCATTTTTTACATATTATATTGATCTAGCTAAACTAATGTGCAAGACTGCAAAAGTAATGAGAATCTATTAATATTTAATTAGGATACCCACCATACTTACTTGTTGTAATATTATGACTAAAATTATTTCACTTAGTATTATTAAAATTCATTCAATTTAAAATACATTTTATATCTTCAGCTCATAGTCGTATCAACGTTTTACTAGTTGTGTGTAAATAGTTCATGTATAACACTCTTATATGTATATGCATGTAAATATTATTGTATACTGTGAGATATGAATGTTTAAAATGTTCCTGTAATTGTAATTTTATAGTTTTGTATTGATTTTTGTAAGAGTATGTTTCTAGAATGGGAGATGTAAGTAAAAAGTGTATGTAAAGACATTTTAAAGATCCAGCAACTGAAGAATGTTCTTATGCAAAATTTTTTTGTTAATTAATTGAAAAGTTCGTATTTTGTAAGTGTTATGATTTAAGTCTGTTAGAATGGTCAAGCAGGATAAATAAAAGAAAATGCTCTTATTTTTTTTTTCATTTTAAAAATGCTCTTATTTTTTCATTTTAAAAATGAACTCTATTATTTTTAGAATCACGGATTCATAAAAGATTTTCATTGAAAATAATCAAAGACGCAAGAGCAATTTAGTAATAATAAAAATTGAATCACAGTACAGTCATTCTTGTAAAAACTAAGTCACACTTAGTATCTTTCAGCAAACATTTTGATTTTATTACAAATTTTATATGAATATTTTATTGCTGAGCTTTATGATTTATATTAGTGTTTAAACCCTACTAATGTAAAATAAACAATTGACTTAGCTGAAAAATGATTGCCTTACAGGGTGTCTCAATTTGAAAGATATTGGTGTAGTTCAGGAACGTTAGTGTACCAGGAAATACTCAATTTTAATGTTACCCTCATGTAAAATGTTGGTTTAGAAGTTCCTATAACATATTTAATTTAGTACCATTTTTAAAACATGCAAACTTAAATAAATGCTGTTAAACTAATGATGTTGATTTTATTTCAACATTTTACCATGTCAAAGGTGTGTCCATAACAAATCATAATGTACTGTAATTTAGCCATTGTGAATCCCAAATATACATTTATTGTAAGATTACATTAAACAACTGTAGATACATTGTATTGAGGTAACCCCTTCAGCCATAGAGCTTACTCATGAGTATAATTATGCAAATTTTTATCATAATGTAACCTCTTTCAGTTTTCAATTTGTCTCAATGTATGTCTCAATGTATAATTTTTGCCATGTTTCCTCTGGTAAAACCTTTGTTTTGTAAGTCTGAAATGCTTTGTGCGTATTTGTGAGATGTTTGCATAATGATTATGAAAAGTGAAGCACCTTTCTAAGTAATGAGCTCTCTTGTTGTGAGAGGCGAGGTGTTAATTTGGTTACGGAGTTTCACCGTTGCAGTGGTCCAAGAAGAAATTAAAGCTAATTTACATATGCAAGTCTTAGCTATTTAACACCACTGACTGGTAAGCACACAGTTAGAAGAGAGCCAACCTACATTATGAAGCTGCTTATCCAGGTGAGGTTAACGCTTAACATGTTTGGAACAATTTGGTTATTTTGAATCACTTCTTGATATTGATTGATTGCCTATAGTCTTATTTGGTTAAGATTACTAAATCTTAACCAAATAAGATCTTAAAGGAGACAAATTTTTGAAGGTACGGAATTTGTTTATGAATTTAATTTATTGTCTACTGATTCATTAGGATGAAAAATCCAGAAGGGAATGTGTTTGATATATATCAAACATCCCCTCATTTTGATTTTATGGAGTCTGAAGAATAGACTGAGATTAGAATGGTAACATCAAAATACAAATAGTAAAATTAACCGGTTTTATAGATCCATCCTATTGTCATCCTGGGTTTATTGAATTTCTCAACCTAACATCATTGACTATTAATAGTCAAAGCTAACATGCTATGACCATACATTTTACTTTTATATTCATTGGTTACTTTTCTAGTACCACTCACTCATGTGAAAACAAACTGCACGTTTCTATTAAATTATAAACTATTCTGTATTTCCAGGGGTTTTTGGCAGTGCTTCTACTGACTTCAGAAACGCTTGCATCATTTGAAATACCTTCAGATGACAGGTAGGTATCTTAATATTCTTATGTGACTTTATACACTTATAAGTAAACAACCATTTATATGGACTATCTTTCAACGAAGTATAGATAACGAGTCTTGCATAGAATATGCTACTAAACCTTTACCAAAAAGTCTTGCCTTGGTAATATTATATTTTGATTTAGTTCAATAATTTAAATATTTCACTTCCTGTACCTATTTTTGTATTCAGAAAACATACATTACTCTCTGGTTTTTCAGTGACTTGACAAAATCAATATTGGAGGAGAATCCTTCTTCAGGAGTTCAGTTCTATAGTGATAGCGACAGCGAGGAAGAAACTTCAGTGAAAAGGTAATTTTGTAGTTATTCTTACTTGAACGGTCTGAATGAGAGTAGTAACACAATCTAGCGGTCAAAAATTAAAGAATATTCCAAAGACTCTGAGTTTAAATGTGGATCTACTATGTAAATCTACTAACATAAAAACACACGTGGTGTTAATTTTTTTATTTTATTTTATAGTATTATTATTGTTTCATTGTTGTATTCATGATATATTTTTAACAATATCTTTAAAAAAACCAATAAAGTTTCTATGCGTGTGATTTCCCACAACATATTTTTTGGGGTCTGTTCTTTTTCTAATTCAAGAATATTAATCACACATCTTGCTTCAACAAACTCTATTTCCAAAATAAACCAATGTTTACAAAAATCATCTGACAACAAAACATATTTAAACACAAATAAATCATATGATAAAAAGAACAGACTTAATACAACATCCCGCCTCAAGTACCGCCTCAGTTTCTTAATGGACCTTCCGTAACGGGTTACTGTGCCAGCTCCTGGACAATCACGTGAGTTGCATGGACGATTAAGGACCATGGATGAACAGTTTGAAAGAATACCATCTCCTCCGTAGTACGGTGCAGGAACTAAGAACTTCCGGTTTCGGTGAATGGTTCTCAGATTTATCATCGGAGTAGGAGTACACATAACTGCATTATTTTCTTGGTTTGTCTGTCCCAATGCAAAACCTAGTGACTCACCTTCAGTCTTTCTAGAATCCCTTTCTTACATGTAGTTGAATTCACTTTGGGCATCGTCCACCTTGTTGTCCTCATACCTTTGCCTACGAGTATTTCGTTTTTTTCTGCCCTTACTTGACATTATGCGTGGTTTTAGACTTTGTTCGATAAAAAATCCATTATGCCACCATGTTCTATTTCTAATACAAGGATATTAATCACGCATCTTGCTTCAACAAACTCTATTTCCAAACTAAACCAATGTTTACAAAAATCATCTGACAACAAAACATATTTGAACACAGATAAATCATATGATAAAAAGAACAGACTTAATACAACAGGGTCTTATACTAAAATCTCACATAGGTATTTAAACGTGAATGGGGTTTTTCCCAAAAATTGTAAATCAACCACTTGATGGATTTTCTTGACTTTTGAGAGGAGGGGAATGTCAAAAGATGCGTGAACTGGTTTATTGTGCAATGGAAGGTGGTATGTAGCTGACCTTGTAATCAGAGTGGAAATTTTCTGTTTTAAGTTGCTATTTTCTGTCTGTAGCTCTTGAAAATAATCACTTGTGAAAACCATCTGTTTTGAATCAAATAGAGTTTTTACTGAATACAGTACCTACTTGATTCATGTGAGTAGGACGGGCTACAGCTAATTTCTTAGTCTGAATACTGAAAATTATCAATTCTTTTAAAGTTACAGTGACACACAATTATCAGATTCATACGGACAGCCCCCCGCAGAGCCATACAATGAGCATCTATCAGTCCTTGATGTCATATTAAGAAAAAGGTATGAGTCAGTGGAAACAACTAAATCGTGAATAGCTTTAGACAAAATAATATTTGAGTCATGTGTGAAATCAATATCGAGGTGAAGAATAGGTATTATCTGTAATTGGGAGACCCAAATCTTCTACACTTGATAAGATAGTGCATGATTTCATTGTGGTACTTAACAATTATGAAACTTCCAGATAGGAACAAGGGTCTAATCTTTAACTTTGGTCTTTTGAACGGTGTGACACTATTCATAAGAAAAGAATTAACTGAAATCTGTGCGGTTTGGAACTAGTCTAGTCAGGCACTTTATCGAGAATGTTACAATGTTCATTCTAAAAGAAATAACTAATCTTGAAAAACCTTCAACTTATTGTCAAAGTAGTATACAGTCACAATCTTAGTTTTATTCATCAATACCAAATTTTCTCTCTGACTACATTGATCAATATCTTATAAATACATCCTTGAAAGTACCACATAAAACAAATAATACAGTTTTGACACTGCATGTATCAGAGTTATTCTAGAAAAAAGAGAACATATTGATAACAATAAGTCTAACATTGAATCTTGTGTGGTTAAAGTGCTTGTGTAATCAAATGTTTTCCAGTTCTATCCTGTAAAAGTCAGAATATTTCCTATGGTTTTAAAATGGACAAATATGTCTTTTATTACTTTTGTTTTGATTAAGGACGCTTCCCAAAGAAACAGCTGATTCAAGAGAACAAAACTATCCATCTCGTCCATTTAAAACTTGTCCATAACTAATGTTCCCCTTCTAAATACCTACACACTCTGGTGTACTGACTTATCAACCCAATCTAATTCAAGTTGCAGGGATTTCTTGTGACGATAGCAGGCTTGCCCAAATGAATAAGAGTTCAATGTGGCACAAGAAACACAACACTTTACACAAACATAAAACATTAGAATATTTTAATGTCTTTGGCAGCATTTTAATCTAAGGTGCTGAGAAATAGCTGTCATTGACAGCGAAATATTACATTTTTGTCCGTCTGTAAAATTTTCTTTTTCTTTATGCCAGATTATAATACTCTTTACTATTCAGGTACGACTGCTCTGTCCTAAAAAAACACTAGAAAAATACTATGCTCTTGTGCTTTTTTACATTCTCAACCTCAATTCAGATTATGTAATCCATTTTTTAGCCAAACTGATAGTGATTGGACTTTTATTTTGTATTCCAGACGCACAGAAGCCTCTGTAAAACCAGAAGAGAAGGTGTTGGACATTCCACGCGCAGACAATCTCCCAATAAAGGATTATGCTTCTGAATACATCTCAAGTAACAATCCTCCGAGCATTCAAGAGGGAAACGCAGAAAAGGCTTCAAAAGAGGAAAGACCTCATTTGAAACCAATTTTATTTAAAATAGAATCATCGACCAACCGAGACGATAGTGTTGCTAAAGATAAGCAATTAGAGGATGATAAACCAAAGGAGGAATCGGTAAAAATAATCCTCAATCCCTTGATCCAAGCTTCTCCATGAATCATTAACAGTCATCATAGTACATTGATTGTTATGTTGTTTTATTTTAAGTGTTATTTTTTTAAGTTTTTTTTTTTATTTTAGAACATTTGAATACAAGTTTTGAAAATTCAAATAGTTTTATGTTTATGTTTTATACTTTTGTAAATTAATTATAATTATATAATTTAAAATCTATTGCACTTTGGTTAGTAGTTAAATAGGCTGCTATTGTTATTTTTTGAAAAATTAGGTTTTTACTATGAATAAACATTTTGTAGATTGTATGTAGATTGTTGTTGTTTTGTAACTTGGTCCATTTACCTACATACAGTATTATCAGTCAATCGTTGATGTTTGTGAGCTTTTGTTTGCTTTTAGCGAATTTCCCATATAGGGAATAAGGTCATTGAATTATGAGAACATATGATTGAGTACAGATCAAAGAAAATAATAAAATCAGCCTAAAAGAAAATTAAAATTCAGCTGAGTTGAATCACTTATTTACTATCTTAAATTTAAACCAGAGGGGATCTTTGTTTTCAGTACCAACTGTTGAGCCAATTCAGAATTTCCAGTTGGTTGCATTTAGGGTTTTGATGTGGGTTTACTTTGTGAAGGGCTTTAAGGATATAGCAGCCTTCAAAATTTTGGTTGTGGTGAGCGGCATTATAGATTGGTTTTCTTTTGTCTTCATGTACCACATCAAAACGATGGCCTGTCATTCGAACTCTAAAAGAGTTTGAAGTCTGGCCAGTGTATTCTTTTGGACAATGTTTACACGACAGTTGATAAATCACATTGTGAGTTTCACAAGTTGATCTACCAACAATCGGATAAACCTTGTTTGTAACTTTGCTATCAAATTCAGATGTACAACTCATAATTTTGCAAATACCACATCGGGGCTTGTGACATGGTTCACAGCCGTGTCTAAACCAAAACATAACACCATTTTTTAAATTTTTTTAGTGAGTGGAAATTGTTTGAAGGCCGAGAATTTTGGGTCTCACCAACATATTTTTTAAGTTTTGTGGCCTTTTAAAAATAACTCGTGGTAGTCTGGAAAATAAATTTTCAGTATTAGGGGAAGATTTCAAAATATTGAATGCTACTTTCATTTCACTATTCCATCATATTTATGTTCTCTGAAAAAATATTTACAATATTATTTAGCTTTCTAAATTATACACAATTTTCTGGAAAAGCTATTTAAAGTAAAAAAAATTAATAAAAAATATAAACGGGTTTTTAAGCGAAATTATTCCCCACAAAGGAGAATTTACTCCTGTGTGTGGGATATAGTTGTTAAAGACATGTTTATGTTCACATATTAGATCATTTCCATGTTTAATCCAGTGTTAACTCAGAGGCCACTGTGGTGGGGCTGTCGAGGCTGAAGCGGCAACTTAGCATGTTGTGTGTAAACAAGACGTTAGAACAAGGACGAGTTTATTTTTAAAAAAATGTTTGACATAGTAAAATCAAAGTGACACACTTAAAAAATTGTTCTAATTTATGTAAGTGAAATCAAAACTTTTGCAGTGCTCAGTACTTCATTTACCTACCTGAGGAAATATTCTAACCTTCACTGGATGGTTGGGTTTATATGGTTAAAAAAGGGTTAATACATAACCCTTTTTTAAAGACTAAGTAGTACGCACAATATGTTTATCTTATGAAGTTGTATGATCTAGGAAGGTTGAGAATCTCTTCTATTGTTGACAGGTCAGTGAGATGGGCCGCAGAGGTTGGCAAGATCTGTCAGGTACCAACACGCGAGCGCCTCCACCACAGTCTGCGTCAGCTGATAACTTTCCTAGCTACTCCAACTACTCTTCTGAAAAGTCGTCGCTTCTTATCGACAAAAACTTAAAGCAAAGGTAAGGTTAAGGTTTTTGCGCATGGATCCGTAGTTTGTGTACAAGGCAATGAAGTTCCTCTCTGTATACTGGTATAATTTGTGAACAGAATATAATCATTTGTAGTTTTGTAGGTGACGTGTACGCTTCGCTGTGTGTTCAGAATTTTTTTTTTTTTATTATAGAAACTCCCCCATTGCATACAAGATAAAGTAAGTGATACTTTTTTTTAACCACAACAAACATATCTGATGCCAACATTGCCAGATGACGGAAGGTCCCCAGTGCAAAGAGTGAGGGTTAAGTGCGTAAATGGGTTATGATTTAGGAAGTTAAAAAATTCATTCTGAAATTGACATTGTCACTGCCCTTTTTTGAACTCCCGAACCCATTTCTGTACTTCACTCATTGCACTGTGACCATCACCCATCAGTCATCTGGTGGTGAATATCGGCATCATATATGTTTGCTGTAGTCAAAATCACGTATTATTGATCTTATCTTGCATGAAGCAGGATATTCAATAATCTTTGAACAATCTTAACCCACAGGGAAGCGTAAACGTCACCTACAGAGCTGCAAATGGTTCCATTCTGTTAGCAAATTATGCCAGTATATAGCAAGGAGCCTCGTGGTGTCGACACGAGTGTCATGACGTTTGCTCAGAATATAATGCATTTCTTAAAACTGTTAAAATGATAATGTTTCATAAACAACCAAGTTCACACATTAATTGCCAGAAAACAACATGTTGCATTATCAATAATATTTTGTTTTTGTTGTATTTTGTTTGAACATATTTATGTTCTAGTACAGTAGGCTACTACAGCAAGGTGATAAGATTTAGTCATGTTTCTGGAATGTTAATTTAATGTATACTGTTATCATATCACCTAACAAAATAGTTGATAATGAGTCAAAATTGCAAAGTGACTAAAGGTTGCTTGAGATTATTCAAACATATGAATCACTAGCTGTAACCCGCGGGCTTTGCCCCGTTTAACTTCTTAATTTTCAAGATTATCTCGTTCGCATGGCTCAATCACGTCCTGGTTGAAGTTTGTTCGCTACGCTCACTCACCTTTAGGTTGGAGCTCGTTCGCTACGCTCACTCACCTTTAGGTTGGAGCTCGTTCGCTGCGCTCACTTGCCTTCAGGTTAGCTCGTTCGCTAAGCTAACTCGCCTCCAGGTTGAAGTTCGTTCGCTACGCTCACTCACCTTTTGGTTGCAAATTAGCTGTTGTCATAAATGTAGAAGAAATAATAGTGCTGCACCCTGTTGGTAATCCTTGTAACTTTAATGCTATTGAACATCATAGAACAGAACTAACTTGTTTAGTTGAAACAGCTGTTAAGATTCAATAATTCCATTTCTCATAAGGTTAACATGGGAAACTCCAGAGCCACTGGGGCGGAGCCCGAAAGGATTTTTGAAATAAGAATATGCCTATATGTTAATCGGGAATGTGAGCTATCATCATGCCAAATTTCAGCCCAATCCGACCAGTATTTTTCGCGTTCACTTGTCACAAACATACATCCATATATCCATACATCCATACATCCAAACTTTCTCATTTATAATATTAGTAGGATTAGTTTTGTCCCAATCTTTTAAGGTTTAAATTTGAGCCTGGTAGATCTACAAATGCTTGAGAAAAACTATACATGTAATACAATGAGGGGGTTTCTTCAACTCTTTCAGCTGTCCTGCCAACCGATTTATACCGATTAAGGCGTCATTGTAAAGCTTTATGACGAATGTTTAACCACAGTCAGATTGTAAACAAAAGACAAAACAGTTTATGAAAATGGATATTAATAGACCTCTAATTTATACTGTAACCAATCTGATTATAGGTAAACCACTCATCCATCATGTTGTAGATCTAAAAGCCACAACTTTATAAAGGAAATTGGTATTGTTATTATTTACCATAACTGTCTCGAACAGACTTAATCTTTCAAAAGTAAAAGGATATTGCATTATTTGTTTCGGGTCAAAGACAACTAAAATGTGCAATATGCCCACAGGTCTTCTCACCTTTAGACCTACAAATGCTTGAGAAAAAAATGTATACAGTATCTACTTTGGTGAATTTAAACAAATTTAAAAGAAAACCTTAATGAATATTCCCCCGAAAAATTTGTGTAAACTAAGTCTCCAAAATGGCAGTTTTATACCATTTCTTTGTCCAGAGTTAGTGTGACAAATTATTTTACGCAATCTGTATGCACTACTGTATTACATGCAGTAAAAAAATATGGGGGGGGGGCGGTCACCCCCTTCGCGCCCCCTCTGTATCTGCCACTGCAAAATAATTACATCCAAAAATAACCTTTCTAACCTTGCATAACTAATCAATTGTTATCCGTTAATTAAACTACATTCCTGCATTATCAGTTAGTTTTCCGCAGCAGGTTAGCCAGGCTCAGATGTGTTTGTTGTGTGACGACACAGTTCCCTGATAAACCCAGATAACCGTGGCTGCTGATAACAGAACACACCTGTGCTGGTTGCCACCGAGAACACGTGATGTGAAGTGAGATGGTGCCTCAGGAGTTCCGCAAGAATCTGTGCGTCATTGCCGGATGGGTGTCTTTGGTAAGTTTTGAAAAATTGTGTAATTTTTCCACCTAGTATTATGATATTTTTGTTTGAAATCCTTCCACTGATGTGTTTAATATGTTTCATAAAACTTCAAAAGTGTTTGTTTTTCATTTAGTACAGGTTAGATACATTTTCAAAACATAGTTGTATGGATTTTATCTAACATGATTTTTATCAGTTGAGTCACAGTTGACTTCTGTCCAGTACGAATATTTACTGCAACCAACACATTACTGGCACATACCACATTCCTTCATCTAAAACAGTAACTAAACTGCAGGTGTAAGTAACCTAAAAATATCTGACATGAGTTTCTGCATACTTTTAGGTTGGAAAGTACAATTTCACATATTTATGAATTAAGTAAAAATATCTTAAACAATTATAACATAAAATTGTGTTAAAAAACTAGAATGTCTATTTATATCTAAATTTGTATAGCAATACCGGTGCATATTATCCTTTAAACAAAAATAATTGTAATATTGTGGAATAAAGTTGTACCATATTTAATTTTATTTACTTATGTCATTGTCTGAACTTTGCTTTTG